TAGAATGGTTAATGGTTAGCCATTAGCCTAGCCTGGTTAATGGCTACCTTTAGCCTAGAATGGTTAATGGTTAGCCATTAGCCTAGCCTGGTTAATGGCTACCTTTAGCCTAGAATGGTTAATGGTTAGCCATTAGCCTAGCCTGGTTAATGGCTAGCCATTAGCCTAGCCTGGTAAATGGTTAGCCATTAGCCTAGCCTGGTTAATGGCTACCTTTAGCCTAGAATGGTTAATGGTTAGCCATTAGCCTAGCCTGGTAAATGGTTAGCCATTAGCCTAGCCTGGTTAATGGCTAGCCTTTAGCCTAGTCAAGACTTGTCCCCTTGTCTTCGTTGTTTCTGACTGAACTATTTAACAGAACAACTCTAAATTCAGCGAACCGTCCCTTTAAGACACTTTCTAACAACACAGTTCCTGTTCAGTCCTGTTATCATCAAAACTAATTCCTCTGTTCCACAACAAAAACACGTCTGCATCAAAATCAGACTTAAAAAACAGWAATTAAATAAAAATAAGACATTCTTTAAAATAAAAAATAAAACAAAAACACTTAAGACTAGCTAAAGGTACTCAATGCAAAGTTGTTAAGACTTTGTTTACAGCAGATCCAGCTTTGTTTACGTTGACTGCAGACCCGCGTTTTATGAATATCTGGAACACTACAGGAGTTAACTCTTCCAAACTGCACCATTTGATCAACTTTTTAATTTTTTTACATTTTGCTCTGAGTACCTTTAATCTGAGGAATGGCCGTCAGATAAAAGTGTAAATTAATGCCGTCCTGCGTGAAGAAAAAAGGCTAAAAAGTTGAAAATGGCGACGTCTGGGCCTGCGGAGGCACAACAGCTCTTTTTCTTTCACATTTATTGATGATTCAGCATTGCAGATTATTACTTTTAATCTATTTGATTTGATTTTTTTTTAATTCCTTTGGACACGTGTTGACTTTTCATCTGTCGCAGCAGGTAGATTCAGCTAGCATTTTTTCATATATCTATATATATTTATATATATACTTATATACACACATGCAACCATATGGATCCCCCAAAATAAAATAACTAAAGAAAAACAGAAAAATAAAAACAGAACTCCCTTTTTTTTTTCWTTTTGAACCACTTCAGAGCTATAAAAACCTGCATGAGTCCAGACGGAGCTCGCCCGGAGGATGTGAGATACGCAGCGGGCTGGAGGAGGTGCTGATGCTGGGGTGGGGGGTGGAATGCAGCAGGGATGGGTCTACTCTTCATCCCCCCTCCCTGTCCAAACGAGCCACATTCTATAGATTTTTTTTAGKGGGGTTGTTTTATTTTTAAGATTCACATTATGCTGGAAGAAGACTAACTGGCTGCAGACGCTGCCTGGGGGGGCAGGCCGCCACCAAGAACACTGGAGTCGAGTGCGAATGCATATCTACCCTCCTGACCTGCAGGGGGGGAAGAAGAGGGTTCAGTCGTGAGCGGTTCAGGGGGAACCGATCCCTCAGGCGGTACTCACGCAGCTTCACCACTGCGGCGGCACGTAGCTGTAGCTGGGGGTGCCGGAAGGCCGGTACGTGGGCATCGACACCGGGTGGGGGGCRACGGGCGCCGGTGATGGACTCGTCAACAGAGCTCCTGAAAAGCAGAGCAGGTGACTCACACATCAAAAAGTCATGCTCTTCTGCTTTTTAGCATTTGGCAGAATAATCAGCATCTTACCTGCTGCAGATGGCTACTTTCTCCTCAGTTTAGAGTTTAAATCTGACAGAACCGACGAGCTAATGGCTAGTCTTTTTTAAACAACTTCAAATTTTTGAACTGGTTCATGATGACATTATCTCAGTGGACCCAGTTCTGCAAATCCGCTAACAGAATTTTATACAACTTTGGAAACTCTTAGCGAACCGATTAGCTTCCACTAAATTAGGTTCTGCTAAYTTTGAGTCCACTAAAAGTTCACGAGTGTAAAACTACTTTATCTCAAATTAAATAAAAATATCCCCTCTTATAACCAGTGCTAGACGTGTCGTGTGTAGCATGTAGCATCTTTAGCGGCTAAACTTCAAAGTAAGGGCATCAAAAAAACAACAACATTTAAATAATGAACACAAAAGATGACTGAATAAAATACAGTAAAAAAAAGTATTTGCTATTTGTTGTTTGACTAACTTCAAACTGTATTTGTAAAAATAAAACTTGATCAAACAAGTGCTTTTATTCTGAAAGGGGTAAATTAGATATATCTTAGTTTAGACAGTGCTATAATTCTGGTTTGGATTGGCTCGTTTACCACATGTGACACAGGCTGAGTGTCGTCTTAGCGGTTAGCGTTAGCTTCCACAAATTACCTGTTTAACAGATTAGCGTTAGCGGAGCAAAAGGTAATTATTTAGCAGATTAGCRTTAGCAGAAAATAAGTTTACGTTCAGTGGATTAGCATTAGCAGAGCATACTGTAGGTTCTTGTTCAATGGATTAGTATTAGCGGAGCATAGGTTATTATTTAGCAGATTAGTATTAGCAGAGCAGAGGATCTTGTTCTAAGTTAAACTTATTTTAAGAGCCATCTGCAGAAGGTTAGATACTACCTGTTCATATTGTTGCCACAGAACCCTGCTGCAGAGCGTYGCAGCAGCAGCTCACCTGCTGACATGGCCATGGTCGTACCGGCTACCATCCCCATGGTGACGCCGTTGGGGCGTGTGGGAGGAATGGGCGGAGCATACATGGCTGCAGGCATCCCGTTGGGCTGGACCACCGTGGTGTGATGGATGACGTGAGGCGGAGCCGCGTACAGCGGCTGCGTGTAATAGGCGCCTTGTTGTTGTGAAGGTATTAACGCCTGAAGCAGGAATTAAAAAAAACTGTGACGACGGAGCAGGAAACAAAGGTCTGCGATGGCGCCGCCCACAGACTCACTCACCTGTGCGTACGGGCTCTGTTGGGCGTAGGTGCTCCTGACTGGGTAGACGGCGGCAGGGTACGGGTTTGGCGAGGAGGAGTAGGGCGGAACGGTCCCCGTGTTGGGAGAGCAGGACATTTTGAAGGGAGTTCCAGGAGCGTAACCTGGAGGGAGAAGATGCTTCAGGTTATTCTTAAAAACAGATAAGTTTGTTATTTAAGAACAAAAAACTGCTAAAAATACGGTTAAGATAAGTTTGTTTTTAAGAACAAAAAACTGCTTAAGATTCATTTAAGATAAGTTTGTT